CTTGGCTGGCCTGGCACCAGTGCGTGTCATAGCATGGTCGTCTGGAAGGTCGTCCAGATGGTTGTTCTGCTGTTTGGTCATTTGGTTCATTTGCATATTATGCTTTTATTATTATAGATATTGTTTCAGTTTTTCTCTAGTATTAGTTATTGTTGTTAATCTCTTACTTTGCCTAATTTATAAATGAAACTTTACCATAGTTATGTATGTACTAGAGGCCCAGTGCACAAAATATGTGTACGGGGTGGGGGGGGGGGGTGTCCCTCAGCCCGACCTGCACCCTCTCCAATCTGGGACCCCTCAGGGGATGTCCGACTGCCTGTTTAGGCCTCTGCCTGCCTGCCTGATCGCCCCTAACTGCCTCTGCCTGCCGGCCTGATTGACCCTACCTTGCCCCCCTGCCAGCCTTATTGCCCCTAACTTGCTCCCCTGCCGGCCTGATTGCCCCTAACTGCCTCTGCCTCAGCCCCTGGCCTAAGTTGCAGTCTGGCCTCCCTCTGTGGGAGGCGACCTGGTGGATCAGGGAAAGGCGCCACCCCCATTACCCTGCTGCTGCTGGCGTTGCAAGCCTGAGCCTGGGCCCTTTGCAGCCACGCCTCAGCCCTTCGCAGCCACCTGCGGCTGTCTGAGCCTGGGACCTTCACAGCCTCATGCTCTCAGCCCCGCCCACCCACCTGATCACCCCTAACCACCTCTGCCTCGCGCTCCCCCCCCCCCCAAGCCACAGTCTGGCCTCCCTCTGCGGGAGGCAACCTGGTGGATCAGGGGAAGGCGCCACCCCCATTACCCCACTGCTGCTGCCACTGCCGGCCTGAGCCTGGGCCCTTTGCAGCCGGGCCGGGGCTGACAGACCCTTCTTGCCACTGTGCCTTGGAGGCCCGGGGCCCACAGACCCTTCCCGCCCCTGCGCCGTGGAGGCCCTCCGCCCTCAGATCCCTCCTGCCACCACGCCCAGGTGGCCCGGGGCCCACAGATCCCTCCCGCCACCATGCCCCAGCGGCCTGGGGCCCACAGTTTGGTCGTCTGTCTGGTCATTACGGACCCTGGCTCTTTATATATTAGGATGGGGAAAAGAAGCATATATAGGGTGTCGTATTTTTTTTTTTAAATATATTCCATTGATCCTCTACAGAGAGGAAGGGAGAGAGACAGAGAGCTAGAAACATCGATGAGAGAGGAACATCGATCAGCTGCCTCCTGCACATCTCCCACTGGGGATGCGCCCGCAACCCAGGCACATGCCCCCGACCGGAATCGAACCCGGGACCTTTCAGTCCGCAAGCCGACGCTCTATCCACTGAGCCAAACCGGTTTCGGCAAGGCCATATATAGGGTGTCGTATTAACTGTGGTTTCAGGCATCCACTACAGATCTTGGGACACATCCCCTATGGATGGGGAGGAGGGGGCTACTACAGTGGAAAGAGCCAGACTTGGAAGTTGAGTCCTCTTTGTACCTGTTGTTTCCTCATCTTTTAAAGTAAATTATGGTACCAGACTGGTGAGGTATTTTGATACTGGTAAAAAAATTATTTTTAAATAGCTATATTGAGATGTGATTCATATACTATGCAAAACTCCCATTTAAAGTGTACAATTCAAAATGGCTTTTAATATATAGACAGAATTGTACAACCATTACCACCATCAATTTTAGAACAGTTTCATTGCTCCCAAAAGGACACCTGTATTCATTAATAGTCATTGCCAATCTCTCTCCTCCCCTTCTGAACTCTAAGGAATCTCATATCTACTTTGTCTCTATAGTTTTGCCTATTCTGGACATTTCATATAAATGGAATTATATTTTTTGCAGTTCAAGAGAAAAAAAAAATAAATGGAATTATATTACATGAAGTCCTTTGTGACTGGTTCTCAAACTTAACATTTTTAAGGCTCATTTATGTTGTAGTATCTATCAGTATTTTATTCCTTTTCTTTTAAAAATGTTTATTATTTTAAATTTATTTTTATTGTTGAAAGTATTGCAGATGTCCTCTTTTCCCTCCCCGGGGCCCCCCTTCACCCTGCTCCGGCCCCTCCCCAGGCTTTTACTGCACTACTATCTGTGTCTATGGGTTATGTGTATATGCATATAAAATTTTTGTTTAATCTCCCCCCACCCCCACCCCCTTCTCTCTGAGATTTGTCAGTGTTTTGCATGCTTCCATGTCTCTGGATCTATTTTGTTTGTCAGTTTATTTTGTGCATTAAATTACACATATAAGTGAGATCATGTGATACTTGGCTTTCTCTGACTGGCTTATTTCCCTTAGCATAATACCCTCCAGGTCCCTCCATGCTGTCTCAAACAGTTTATTTTTTTTAATTAATATATTTTTTTATTGATTAAGATATTACATATGTCCTTATACCCATGTTACCCCCTACCCCCCCCTCATGTCCTCACCCCCCCCCCCCCACCGTTGTCCGGGTCCATTGGTTAGACCTATATGCTTGCATGTAAGTCCTTTGGTTGATCTTTCCCCCTCACCCCCACCCTCCCCTACCTTCCCTCCAAGGCCCGACAGTCCAATCAATGCCTCTCCGTCTCTGGATCAGTCCTTGTTCATCAGTTTATGTTGTTCATTATATTCCACAAATGAGTGAGATCATGTGGTATTTATCCTTCTCTGACTGGCTTATTTCACTTAGCATAATGCTCTCTAGTTCCATCCATGCTGTGGTAAGTGGTAAGAGTTCCTTTTTCTTCTTCCTCTTCTTAAAGAATACCTTTCAGCATTTCATATAATGCTGGTTTGGTGGTGATGAACTCCTTTAGCTTTTTCTTATCTGTGAAGCTCTTTATCTGACCTTCAATTCTGAATGATAGCTTTGCTGCATAAAGTAATCTTTGTTGTAGGTTCTTGCTATTCATCACTTTGAATATTTCTTGCCACTCTCTTCTGGCCTGCATGGTTTCTGTTGAGAATGAGCTGACAGTCATATGGGTACTCCCTTGTAGGTAACTGACTGTTTTTCTCTTGCTGCTTTTAAGATTCTCTCTTTGTCTTTTGCTCTTGGCATTTTAATTATGATGTGTCTTGGTGTGGTCCTCTTTGGATTCCTTTTGTTTGGGGTTCTGTGCGCTTCCTGGACTTGGAAGTCTATTTCTTTCACCAGGTAGGGGAAGTTTTCTGTCATTATTTCTTCAAATAGGTTTTCAATATCTTGCCCTCTCTCTTCTTCTGGTACCCCTATAATTCTGATGTTGGTACGCTTGAAGTTGTCCCAGAGGCTCCTTACACTATCTTCATATTTTTGGATTCTTTTTTCATTTTGCTTTTCCGGTTGGGTGTTTTTTGCTTCTTCGTATTTCAAATCTTTGACTTGATTCTTGTGATCCTCTGGTCTGCTGTTGGGAATCTGTA